GAAGCACCTGCCACGAAAGTCTCAGATCTGGGGCAGAACTTTGATTCAGAAGGTTTTAGAGGGTTTAGGGGTTTAGGGGTTTAGGGGTTTAGGGTTTAGGGTTTAGGGTTTAGGGGTTTTAGGGTTTAAATTTGATTCAGATGGTTTCAGGGTTTAGGGGTTCTAGGGGTTTTAAATAGGGGTTTAGGTATTTAGGGTTTATTGGTTTTGAGGGGTTTAAGTAGGGGTTTAGGTGTTTAGGGTTTAGGGTTAATGGAGCTCCACGGCTGGCGTCACTGTTTTTATAGTATACACAAGTCTGTGAAGGTATACATCCTGATGAACATACATGCGTAGCTGCATAAATACATACCTGCAGGCACAAATGCATGCGTAGATACCTCCTGAATTCCGCACATACAGACATAACGAATACTTACACCTGCAGATACGCAGGCACATACTTATAAGCATGTCATGAACAACCACGTACAGTCATGCATGCATGCATGCATACCTATATACATACTTACATAAATCATACTTCCATACATGTATACAAACATACATCCTTGCATACTTTCATACATAAACCCTGAAATGCAACTCAGACAGACAGGCAGACAGACAGACAGACAGACAGGCAAACGGACAGACAGACAGACAGACAGACAGACAGACAGGCAGGCTGGCAGACAGACAGACAGACAGACAGACAGACAGACAGACAGACAGACAGCAGACAGATAGCAGACAGTCACACATACGTCTCTGTATGCATAATTACTTACTTACCTACCTACTTACTTACGTACTTACTTACTTACTTAATTGGCTTACTTACTGGCTAACTTGCTTGCGTTTCTTACTTATTTGTTTACGTACCCCTGTCTGTCTATGCCGAACCAGGAGGTTGCGCAAGCGCTTCAGAGCCTGATTGAAGCCTTCCCGCCCCGTGGCTTGTTTAGGGCTGGCCTTCATCGGACTTAAAACGATTGGTGGACATGTCGCTCCCTTGCCTGCGATTGTCGGCGGTATGCCGGTGTATACCTTATAGTTGCAGAATCATTATTTGCTTTGTTGCATGGCCTGAGGCCTGAGCTACAGGTGAATTAGGGCAAGGTTTTCAAGAGTCATGACTTGAAAACCTTTGGACTAGTAACTAATTACGCTGAACAGATCCGTGGGATGTAAGAAGGCATCAATCGTGAATGATGTCTCAGCATGTCGGATTTGGTTTTGGGGACCCCATGCTGCTCCAGAAGACTATTCGGAACTACTAAACGGCCCTCACATTCATCAATCAGTTTGCTGCCAAGGCCCCCTTAAACCTAGCCACCTATATTTTTTGTAAATATCAAGTCGAGGAACGAAGTGGTGCCATTCGCGGCCCAGTTGATCGTCGGATTGGCGGGGCAGTTCTGCGCCTCTGACTCTGATTCGAGATATGGGAGTTTCGGTAAACTAGGGTCCCTTTTTGGGGGTCCTTTTGATAAGGGTGCCGTACTATATTTGGGAGTTAAAGAGGGACCTTAATTTAGAGAACTACCCAAAAGGGAGTTCGGTACTGCCGCATTTCTGAGTTTGGTTGTTTAGTCGGGTTCGTCGGACCGTCGGTATATAGATATTTACCAAAACAGAACCCCCCGCTATGCAAACCTATCACATCAGTATACATCAGGTTTGCGCGAACCCGGACACACAGCCAAGGCGTAGCAGCTTCTTAGCCATGAAGACTCTAGACTGTTGAAAACAGTGTACCCAAACCGGAGACTCAAAAGGCATGATAGGATCAATTTGGGCTTTGTTGCCGCGAGGACTCCGCCGAGAGAGTCACACTTGGGATTTGGTTGTTCTTTTGCATTTGGCCCCCCTTCAAGGGAGTATAGACTTTGGGTTTAAGTACGAACAATGGTCGCTTTCAATCCTGTATGGCCATTTTCAGAAATACACTAAGACCCGATTCTAATTTAACTACTTGTAGCAAGGTCCCTTGGATAAGAACAACCTTGAAACGGACCACGAATTCGGACGAACACCTTGTACCTGAAGGTTCATGGGTGGCTAAGTAGGCTCACGGGTGCTTTGCTTTGGGCCATATGTACTTTGTAATTGCAATCACGGTGGCCCTACGCTTTACCGTGCTAGCTGAGGCCAAACCCTTAACCCTACACCCTAAACCCTACTTGGAGGTTCAGTCCCCTAATATGGGTTAGAAGTACAGTTACCCTACTTATAGCCTCATTTATAACTACCCATGAGCCTGCAAGTAACTGTGAAGCCCACGAACCCCTGACCCAGTCCCAGGGCTCATGGAGAGCTGTGTGGATTGAGTTCGTATACATGCTGACCCTACGCGTTTAAACCCTACTTCTTAACATCATGAATCCTAAAGCCTCGCAGCGCAGGCCCCAAACCCTAGAGGACCGCAACTCCCCTGAGTCGTTGGTGCTCCGTTTACTGTTTAGTGCTTATAGGGATTGATGCATTTCGGGTTCGACAAGTTCAGGCCTCTGAGGCTTCAAGGATATACGGATTAAGATTGGGGTTACGGAGTTTAGATGCTGGGGGGAACAGAGTTTCGAGTTGGTGGGCTTACGGTTTTAGAGCATCGAGTTTTGCTAGCCCAACAGAGCAATGCAAGGACACACCGTTGCAGTTGGACGGAGAGGGCTTGGGACGTTTGCAGCCAGTGTCTGCTTATATTAAATTAGAACAGATGTATGAATATGTGCTGCTGTACAGAACCGCATACTCCTATCCAGCGCATACTCTTACCCTACATAGGAGAGTACATGTAGCGATAGTTACGAAGTTACGCATACACACAGTGGATCATTTTTCTTCATTGCGATACAGAACTACCTGTTTGTTCCGCAGCAGCCAGTCTGCACATTGTCGTGCAGATGTTCCAAGCAGCATAAGCTCTAGACTGCCAGTGTGACGTTGTTCTGCTTGAGCGGCCCTCTTCACAGGCCAAGCAGAAAGTACCCAGAGGTACAAGACCCGAAGCCCGCGAGTTTTGAATGTATCAATAAGCTTGTGTGTGTAGCGTCAACACCAGTGGTGCACCACATGAAACTGCTGATGCATTACATGAAACTTTGGTTGCAGCTTGCTGTTTTGAGTCCATGAATTCCCAATCGAAGGGCCACTTTAAACAAGAAATCTGGATCAAGACCCTGTTTCTCAAGAACGACAACCAGGCAGCCAAGCATCCCTGTTCCGCGGCTTGCCTCCTGCATACCTGAAACCCCCACAATCACAGCCGGCTAAACCCCCACAATGACAGCCGGCTAACTGTCTCAATCAGCATGGTAAAGGGGCTAGACCAAGACTGCAGTCAATCCATCTGTAGGACGGATTAAGGATTACATGCGGTCTCGGCACAGTTGTGACAAGGATAGGTGTGTTTGGAGGAGGCAGCACTTTAACGAGACATGGTTTTGGTAGATCTCCGGGCATCAGCAGCGCATGACCAGTTCATTGTCACAGGCACCCCAAGCAACACAGGGCAAGATATAGTTTAGAAGCGTGTACAATTTCTCGTCCACTTGCAACCTTAATGGCCTTGGTGAAGACGTCGCTTCGTTTGAACCGTCACGAGATAGATTTTGTGCACAAGTTTTAAAATGAAACGATAATTAGATAGTTCCGGACAGAAAGTCTCGCGGTTTGCATCACAACATGTCAGGCTATTCTGTTAGCTTCGTTTTAATATGCTTTCATTGGAACGTTGAGCACTAACTTGCAAATCGAGTCGGCCCATATCTAAAGGTTTGCACCGTTTGGGGGTGCAGATTTCATGTTTAGCCTCCCCCACCCCACATGAGGCCAACTTATGGAACATCGGGACGACGACGATGATGACAACGACAACGAGCAGGGGCCTGATCTTCCATGGTTTGTGCATTCGGAAGAGGTACGGATCTTGCTGTACCAGCTCACATGTGTTGGACCCCATATTCTTCAGAGATACTTTCTATGGTTTTCTTGTCCAACTGAGGCATCACGCAACCACTGCCGCATTAAGGTCTCATATGTATGTATATACACATGTATCATTTACTTATGTTCATTTGGATATATATATATATAGATAGTCATATTTGTTTCTGTATATACATTTCGTTCATTTCTTTTCGTGCTAGTCATTACCTCGCCATCGTCGCAGTCGTCAGTGCCATCATTATGGAGGCAAATGATAGGCTTAAGGATCGTCGCAACAATCATTTACCACTGCCGCCAGCAGCATGACGCATACCGGTTACAGCAGCGCGGGTAACAAGAAGTTCATGGCAGTCACAGCCACAAGTTGCAGCAACCCGTATAGAACTCAGTTGTAAATCCATGTAAAACCAGTATCATTGAACCGGTACCCATTCAAGCTAAGCCGTTCGTTTGTGTCAAGCAGTGATGTTTGTTAGGATGCCTGCCTCCGGCTCCTTGGCAACTATCGTCACCGTCTGCTCCTCAGCTACCACATGCTACCCTATGGGAGTTTCAGGAAATGTGGCCATAAGACTAAGACTTCACGTGCCTCTGAATGGAACAAAAGCCGCTGGACTCTCGAGACACTTCAAATCCTCAAGCGTTTGCCGGCCGGTGGCCGCGCAGGGCGCGGCTATCGCGTCGTTTCTATGCGAGGTGTCGTTATGGATTCCCAAATGCGTTCGTGACTCGTAAGGACCCTCAACGGGGGGCCCTAATCTGCGAACGGCCCCCTCAATCCATATGAGCTCCAGACCATCGAGACGAGCAAGGGGGGTGTCAAGTCGTCAGGGTTATTCCGAGTAACAGAACTAATTATCTAATTAAGTCTGCGAGGCTGACGGCTGAGGGGTTGAGTGGAATGTAGTTGGCGATGACAAGCGAACGTGTTTTTTTACCAGAAGCCCCAAAAAGCCGATCAGCATTGAAAGATGGGTGCCCATCGTGAGGCAATGAAGGTATTTGCGATAGGGTTGTGAGCATGGCCCTTTGGCACTTGACCAAAGGTGCTGCATGCTTGCACCAGTCTGCAACATCCGGAGGACGCAGTTCTTCGCTTTGTGGGAGGGTGTGGTTGGCTTGTCGTCGTAGTCGTAGCGGTAGGTAGTGGTAGTTGGCACTTGGTACTTTGTAGTTAGTAGCTAGCAGTGTAGTTTGTAGCTTGTTGTAGGTAGTAGTTGGTAGTTAGAAGGAGTTAGTACTGACTAGGAATGAGTAGTAGTGCGTAGTAGTTAGTCGTCGATAGTTAGTAGTTAGAAGTAGTTAGTTAGGTAAGTGGTTACTTAGCTAGCTGGCTAGCTAGCTAGTTAGTTCGTTCGTTAGTTAGTTAGTGAGTTAGTTAGTTAGTTAGTTAGTTAGTTAGTTAATGAGCTAGTTAGCTAGTTAGCTAGTAAGCTAGTTAGCTAGTAAGCTAGTTAGCTAGTTAGTTAGTTAGTTAAGTAAGTAAGTAAGTAAGTAAGTAAGTAAGTAAGTAAGTTAAGTAAGTTAAGTAAGTTAAGTAAGTTAAGTAAGTTAAGTAAGTTAAGTAAGCGAAGTAAGTTGAGTGAGTGAGTGAGTGAGTGAGTGAGTGAGTGAGTGAATAGTCATCCATGCTGACCTTGCCCTGAAACCAATCCACTGGACGAGTTGCTAGCCCTCACCCTCAGACAATCCTGCGCGTTGTAACTTGGGTGTCGATCGTTGCGACCCCAATCAGGTTGGCAGATACAAGACCAATCTCTACGGCGCTGCGGAATGGGAGAATGGTACCGAAGCAGCCCCTTGGAAGACTACAGTCGCGGAATGAAAGCAAGCTGCACGTAAGAAGTCCCACCGCCAGCATAGCAAGGGTTTCGTTTCTATGTGCTTTTGCAGTGGTCCTGGACCACCGGCTGAACCCCACATGAATTGATTCATCGACCAACCCTCCCCCCATCCCACCGCCCCGTCTGGCTGCATTTCCTTCGGCGCTTTCCTCCGTCTTCTTGCTTTTCAGTATGCATGATCTTCGAGAGATGTCAGAACGGAACCGTTCTGAGTAAACCCCCTCTCTGTATTCGTCGTCTTGTTGTGTCTGTTGCTGTTGTCGTTTCCCGCGGTGGCTGATGCGTATGTGATGATGCCTGGAGCCCACCTCATTTTGTTTCCTTCCAGTTCCTCCAGCCAGGCCAGGTAGCTTTCGTTCCTTTGGAAACCTCAGCAAGTGCAGCTGACGCGGTGGATGTGGATTTGGCATGCTGTGCCCATTCCATTCGTGAGGATGCCATCACGGCACTTCGAAAGAAGCTTCAGCAGGACAGCCTGTTAGTCGAAGCTGTATCATGGTTGCCCTCGGACATACAGAGAGAGTGAGAGATCAAAAAAAAGCAGCCTGTATGCGCCGTAAGCGTGGTGGCCAGGAGCGGGACTCTGTGGCATCCCTCAAGCTCTCCTTAACGAAGCAGTCCAAATGCAAGGCCGTTGGGACTCTGCCGGGCAGCGCATAGCAGAATGTGATGCGTTCTCGCCCCTGTGAAGCAGGCCATTGAGACCGATGACGCGGACGCCAACACGGAAGAAACAGACGATCTGATGGAGCAGCGAGGGCTGTCAGCATTTATCACACCATAAAGTTCAAGGCTGGGTCGAAGAGAGCTGCTTTCGGTAGAGACACTGCGGATCAGAATCCGATGCAGCAGATTGCCCTTGGTCAAACTGCATGTCCGATGCAAGATCGCAGCACGAAAATTCGGAAGCTTAGGAGAAGTATGCAATCACCGACAAGAGTACATCAGGCGACCCGGCATGTTACATTCTGTCTTCGGGGAAGCTTGCAGATGTTGCCCGGTCACGAGCCAAGAAGAGCCCAGGCCCAAGCTACAGATGAATCATGGTGCAAGCCATTTGTGTTTACCTGCGGTGGGCAGAGACCCAGAGATCCACCTACCCAGGTTGACGTCAGCTGCATGTGTCGCTCATCCATATCATAGGCTGAATGTGCCCACGGTCTCATCGGACCCTTGGGAGATCCTTGGGAGATGCTTGGCAAGCGCTGCTGGCACCTGCCCTAGCGGCACCTGATTTACATACGCAAAGGCGGTGAGCGACCGAGCCAAGCAGGAAGTGAACTGCAAATGCTGGCACAACCAAACTCGCGTGCGGTTCATGTTGAAGTTGAGTGGCGGAGTGAATCCGCACACCTTTTCAAGGCGAGACGGGTGGGGTGGGTGCATGAGCAACGCACGAAAGCGAGGTGGGAACTGTAGAACCGTTAGAATGAGGATGAGGGTGCACGGACGGGCGCGGAAGGTGGGCTCTACAGTCATACCATTACCCCCTCAGCGGGCCAGGAGAGAGGACACCATAATCAAGGAGCGCGAGGGCCGGCTGATGGCCGACCAGTCCTCAGAAGAGCTGCGAGTCAGGGATTTGCATGATTCGCATTCATACAGTGGACCTTTGGGTCGCGGGCATGCAAGACTAGAAGACCTGTGTCCTTGATCAGCGTGCATTCTCGAAGAAATTTAATCCTACAAAGAAATTTAATCCTACACACTGACGGAACCCGCACTGTTCCGAGGAGCGAAATGCCTATCTCAAAAACAAGCACCTGGTGAATGCGGAAGACAGGCGCGTCATCCACTTACAGAGTGGGCTCGCCGCAGACCTTGCTATTCGCTCTTGAATACCCTTCTGGATGAGATGGTTCAGATCTGGCACATCTCACAACAAGAGTTTGGCAGAT